GGGGGGCTGTCACGGGGGCGGGGGGGGCTGTGAGAAGCCACGACTGATGTAACACAACAGCATTGCCCTGAAAGGGAATGGATCCAGCAGAGATGGATTTAAAAATATTTTTAGGTAGTTTGGGGAGTTTCTTGCCCAAATGCTGACTCAGCCTCCCTTGCACAGGAGAGAGCTGATGCAGCCAACGTGGCGGGCGGCTGAAACGGAGAATAAATGTTGGGAGCGCAGAGATTTTGTGGCATCAGACCAGCAGCCTCCAGGACAGCCCGACCACGTTTTGGGGGTTCTGTCCCTATCTCAGACACCTTGCTCTGTAGCGCAGCTTCAGCGCAGCTCGTAACGAGTCCTGCTATCGTCTCACTGTGTGGTTTTAGCACTAGATACCCAAGTGGCAATTTCGGGGGCCAGTTGTATGTTGAAAGGAGCTGTGCATGGCTTCTCCCATCCCCAAGAAACATGCAGGACCGTTTGTCCTAATAGTCTGTAACTGCTGATTTAAGCTGCTCAGCCAGCGCCAGCTTAATGTCATCCCGAGGAGCATCACATCAGCTCACTAAAGAGTCTGTCGGCATGAAAATTACTTCTGAAGTTCCCCCGCTGCATTGCGGGAGCTTTAAAATTGCGTTAGCCAGACCCGGTGCGTGGGTTGCAGCTGTGGGAGCGCTGTCCTGGGGGATGCGGGAGCAGCGGGGTGCCGCTGGCCGGGGAGCTCACTCGCGTGCCCTCTGCTTCTCGCTGTTTTCCAGACCAGAGCTGCTGGCGGAGGGCGTCAAGGAGCCGGCGTCGGACAGCCCGGCAGCCAAAGGTAGGCTGCGAGACGCCCGGCAGCCCGGCCGTTAAGGACTAGGTAGGAGAGGAGTGAGAGCGTTTTCCTACAGTGCGTCTCTTGTCTTCCCTCCCCACCTCATTTTTTGGCTGGAACCCCCCTCCTGTGCATCCCTCTCGGCGGCATCGCGAATCCTAATTCCTCTTACGTCCCCTGTCTCAGCCGCCAGCGAGAGGGACTCGAGCGAGGCGCTGCTGGAGGACGCTGTGAAGAGACAGGGCTTTCAAGGTGAGAGCCTGGAGGCATCTGGGGGAGGTTTGAGGCAGAGTCCCTGGCCCGCTGCGGGGGCTGCGCAGGGCAAACGGATGTGGGAAGGGAGCGGCCGTGGGGCGTCGAGGCTCGTGGGTTGGCAGAGGAGCGCGACAAGGCAAGGATGGGAGGGAGGAGAGGAGGAGATGGGGTGAGAGGATGGGAAGGACAGGCAACCGGAAGACAAGATGTGCAGCTGGGGCGGGGAGTCCCCAAGGAAGAGACTTGACGTGCTCTGGATGGTGCCCTAATTAACCGGCTTTGCTTATCTTGCCATCTGACCTTGCAAGATGCAGATTTAAGTCTTCCAAGCCTCGGAGTTTGCCTTTTTCTTTCGGGCTTTTTCCACCCGACAGCTGGCATGGTGGCTGTGTCGGGGGAAGAAGGAATGCTGAGAAGTCCATGGGCAGCGGGCAAGTGCTGCCCTGCTCGAGCATCCCTTTCCTTGGGCCATGGAAGCCTGCGAGGGTTTGCAGAGAGGGATGGAAGTTTTTCAAAGGCTTTGGTTTTTCAGAGGCTTTGGAGTGCATTTTATTTTAACACTGGTAATTATCACAACTGAATCTTCGATTTCACGCAGCTTTTATTCTTAGCAAACAGGCAGGGGGAAAAAAAACATATTTCTGTTTAGATTATTTTTAAGGACTTTGAATGGCCCACTCCAGAGATTAGCTAATTGCAAGATAAGGACTTTCCTATAATTAGAAAATGGCATTACTTAAAAGTCACAGAGTGCCTTTTAATTTACCAGCAGAAGTCCATAATTGTTTCTTTATTTTACAGAAAATTATGATGCCAGGCTTTCCAGAATAGACATAGCTAACACGCTGCGGGAACAAGTCCAGGACCTGTTCAATAAGAAATACGGTGAGAAACCAGGGTGGGAGTCGGTTTTATTCCCCCTAATTCCTCATGAATTTTTTTGTTCCCTATCCCTCCCCTCTCCTCCCGATTCCTCCTTGCCAGGAACTCTCTCTCGCCTCCTCCTTGACCTGGCGGGGCCAGAGAGGGAACGGTGGGGCTGGGAACTGGTGCTCTTTGCTGCAAGGCGCTTGCTGTGTAGGCAGCTCCCATGCGGCATGGGGGAGCCCATGATGGGGAGCGTGCCGCAGCCCTTCTCGCTGCCTGCCCTCCCTGGCCACGTTTTGTTTTTTCTGTTAATCCCTCCTCTGTGAAGAACAACGATGGTAAATTCATTAGTTGGAAATTGGAGAGCTGTGGGAGCACGGGGGGTGGTGGGAGGGTGGGAAGGGAATAAGGAGAGGCTGTAGCGAGCGCTTGCAGGAGTGTTGGGGGACAAGTAGATGCCACTCCTCCTGTCCCCAGGGCACCTACCCAGGCTCTGCAGGGCACTCCCATGGCCTGCCTGCCCCAGCCGCTGTTCTTTATCAAGCAAGGCAGGGAAATGCTGTTCTCCCCATTTTCTAGGCAGGGGGAAGACTTGTGCGGGTTCCCAGGTACTCACAAGAGCAATTACTTGCAAGGAAGTGTGTAGCCTCAGTCCTGCAGCCAGACCTCAGAGAGGGAACATGCCTATGGAGTTATGTCCAAATAATGTCCCAAAGCAAAGAGCAGCGGCTTTCTGTCCCTCCCACTGCACTGCATGAGCATCGTCGTACAGGATGGTGCCTCTCCTTGTCCCCACCAGCTCCGCTGTGCGCTCGCAGCTGCCTTGGGAGCCCTCCGCTCCCGTTGTGGAGGTGGCCTGAAAATGTCAGTCCTCGATGTAACGCTTGACATGGTGTCTCAGGCAGCCCGCTCACGCCGCGCTGTGCTTTGGCGGGGCCGGGCATGGAGCCAGAGCCGCCATAGAAAAGGCATCCCTGGCATCCCGCTTGCTTACCGCTTGCTTACCGCTTGCTTCTCTCCCAGGTGAGGCCTTGGGGATTAAATACCCCGTGCAAGTGCCATACAAGCGGATCAAGAGCAATCCGGGGTCGGTGATTATAGAGGGGCTGCCCCCTGGGATCCCCTTCAGGAAGCCGTGCACCTTCGGCTCGCAGAACCTGGAGAGGATATTGGCTGTCGCCGATAAAATCAAGTTCACTGTGACAAGGTACGTGGCCAGAGGTATCAGCAACCCTTCCGAGGGGGAGAGGGAGAGGAGGAAGCCAACCTAAATGCACCCCCAGTTCTGCCAGCCCTATCGAGGCAGGGCTGTAAATACTATAAATGCCTCCAGCCCCCGAGACAGCTATTAAGTTGGCAGGTAACGGTTCAACAGAAAGGAGGGGACCGTAAAATAGAGACTCTTGCTCTTTCCTCCTGTTTGCTGCCTGAGGAGGTGGTGGAGAAGGTGCTGATGGAAGAAAACGGTGCTTGGTGCGATGGCTGTGTGGGCAGAGAAATTTCAGCCGCTTTTGTAGGAGTCTTGAGATGGGAGAAACGTTGCGTGGTTTATTGCTGGTGAAGGGCAGCGCTCAGAGAGGCGCTGGGCACTGGCCATTCGCGAGGGGGTCCTGCGGGCTCTGCAGCCGATGGACACAAGCGGGAGGGGAAAGGCACTTTATCACCCTATCACTATAAGGTGAAACCAGGAAAAACAGGCTTTAAGTGTGGCTCCACCACCCGCTCGCTGGGCCACGCTGCCTGTCGTCTTACTGACGCGGTGCATGCTGCCCAAGCAGAGCTCCCGTCGGTCCCGTGCGAGTCGTGGCACAGCGTGCGAAGGGCAGGCTGATCCCTAACGTGGGCCACGGGAGGATGCTCGGTCCAGGCATGTTGGCTTCCTAGTGTCGTTTCGTTTTAAATCTCCTTTTTTCCTTATTTTCTACAGGCCTTTTCAAGGACTCATCCCCAAACCTGGTAAGAGATGATGCCTTTTTGCTTAAGCAATGCATTGGCCAAGCATTTAGTGGTGGTCCGAGAGTTGTAAGCTGTGGAGGGTGTGCAATAATTTTATCAGCGGGAGGAGGGTTGCCCCTGACCTCACTTTCTTGGGCTTCCCACTTTGTTTTATTGGTGTATGGTGCATTTGCTGAAGTTTCCCTGACCAAGACAGCTGGCCTCAGCATCACGCATCGGCACTGCTGCTGTTGCCTTGAATATGGCATTTTTCAAGAGCTAGTCTAGGGCAGGGATCGGCGTTCTGTATTTAAGAAGGCACACACTTTCATAAGCGTTTTCTTAAATTAAGTGTTGCAGTGAGCTGGCACGTTTGGTGGTGAGGGAGGGTCATGGGAAAGGGGTGATTAACCACAGGGTCTGCATCGGGCTGCAGCAGCACGGCAGGGAAAGCCCTTGCCGGCTTGTGGGCGTCCCACGTGCGGATACACCGGGGGGGATGTGGGAGAGGGGAGGACATGGTGTCTGGGGTGCACTCCATAATCACCGTCCCGGAGCCGTGCCCGTCCCTGTGCATCGCTGTGGTGGCTCTGTCCTTGCTTCTACGCTGCCCAGAAAAGAGAGATGCTGTTAGAAACGCGGGTAAAGACCTGTCTCAGTTTTAAATGTCTGTAATTACAACTGTTGGAAGAGCACAGATGGGTGCAAAAAACGATGTCGTCTTTATTGATGGCTTCCCATTTCCTTGGCCAGCCTCCATGGGGATGGCACAATTTAGGGAAGACAAATATGACAGAGAGGGAAACATTTATATGCCCTTACTGGGAACAGCAAAAAGGTGTTAGACACCCGAGAGGGCTCTAGCAAAAGGGGAGCTGTCTGAGAAATTCAATCCAGGGCACGGTCCGAGCGTTGACCCTCTAAATCCTTTTTTATGGCCCAGCCAAGTCGAAGGGGCAGTCCCCTGAGACCTCCGCAGACCCTGGATTTAGACTATTTTCTTTTGGTCCTGGGCAGTAAGGTGCTGGCTCGCATCAGCCGGACCTTAAATGAGCCTCCGGTGACATGCATGAACTTTGGTTTTCCACAGAATTACATGGCCATGATGCCGGAGTGAGCTGAGGATGTATCTGCTCCTCCAACCACATCTTGTCTTCCCCTTTCCCCGCCGTAATCGGTATAATTACGTTAAGAGACGCTGATCTGACACAAATCACACCATTAACAAAGGAGCACATCAGAAGGCAAATACTTCAACCTGCCAGCTGGCTTGGAAATGCAGCTTGATAGATAGAGATGTAGAGGGAATTGATTTTCTTTTCACTGCACAACATTTTTTTTTCCTCCTTCTCCAGCTGAATGCTCCCACCACAGGCTAGCCCATGCTAGCACAAACCCAAAGGCATATTTTATTCTGTGTATTGTGGTACCCAGGCGGGCTCGGAAGGAGGTTGCGGCATCCTTGCCGGGCTTGGGGCTTCGCGCCCTTACCTCCCACGGGGGTTTTAAATAAAATCAGTCCAGTCGCAGGTGAGGGGTTTTTCATACTTGACATCTCAATTTTTTATAGACTATTTCATATATTTGCTACATCTTCAGAGATAATTCCAGGACTTATAATTATTTCCTAGCTGTCAGACTACCGTTGGAATGTCTCCTTGAGAAACAGACTATTTGTATTTTGCCCCCCTCCCCAAAATCCCCATTGACAGCAATTAACCTCTCATCTGCTTTTCCACCCCATTACACCAAAGTGGATGGTGGCAACACAGTGGTACATCCACTGCCTTGGCTTTGATCACTTTTCATCTGCCTTAACAAAATGAATGATTTCCAACTAACCATAGATCATTAAAAATTTAAATTTAAGAGTGTTCTTTTTACCTCATTCTTATGTAGTAAAGTTCTGCCATGTAAAATGAAGAGCAGCGGCAGAAGAGCATGCTTGGCATTAAAACAAAATCAATGAAAATCACTTTTATTTCGCAGAGGAACGTTAAAATGAAAGCCATAGTTACTCCCAAGCAGGCTGGCATCGCAAAGGCGTCTAAAAGCTGGAAAGCCCAGGAGATGGCTGTAGAAATATAAGGGAGGTTACGTTTTTTGTGGATCATTTTGGCCAAAAATTACATTAAAAATACACATTTTAAGGGGAAAAGGGAAATTTAACATAAGCTTTTTTATTATTGTTATTATTTTAGGGTGATTTTAGGTGCCTTTAGGTTAAATTATGGGGTTTAATTTGCTTTAAACCAGTTGTGCACCTCCTGCATTGCAAAGAGCATTCCAGATAACTGCAGGACCGTGGAGGTCCGGCCTCCCGATCCCTCTCTTTTGGGGACAGCCATTTTTTAAGCGTGACAGAAACGGATAAAAGGATTTCCATACAATCTGAGTTCCAAGCGGGCTTTTTCTCAAGATTATCTGTAATTTCTCTGTCGAGATGGTATCTCCCCGCTAATGGGTCGCAGTTGGGGGCGAGGCTGCTGGCGCAGAGGCGGCGGGGGGACGCGTGCCTGCAGGGATGCTGTTTCAGAAGGTGTTTTTTGGGGAGGAAGGAGGCTGAGTTTGGGAAAAATAAAGCTGGTGGTGCTTCCCAGTGCCTGGAGGAGGTCAGGGGCTGCCACCCCCTTCTGCAGTGCGGATTTGCAGCCTTTCGAGGGTGGGACGATGGCCCCAAGGTCACCGGTGCCTCTGCCAGCACTTTACCTGCGTGGCTCCCCGGGGCTTTAACCCGGGAGCACAGCCCTCCTGGCGCCCTGAGACTTTCCTTTTGATTTCCTTTTCTTTTTTTTTCTCCCCACTGCTGGTATCTGCTCTGCGAAAAAGACCTTCAAAACCTCTTTTTCAAAGCAGAACAATCTCTCAGCATTAAAACAGAAGTGGGAGAGCAGGGGTGAAGCTCCAGCTCTATAAACACAGCACTTATCCTTTCTTTTCTTCTTTTCCTGAGGCACAGAGATATAAAACAGGCTTAATTCGAGCCTTTGGAAAAAAAAGAAATATCAAGCAGAAGTAATCTAGCACACACACACAAAAAATCTTTCTGTATGTTAATTTTTATGTGCTTTGATTGAAAATGTACACCAGCTCCATCTGTCCTATTCCCCAAACTCCCTACCACCCTGATAGATTATTTCCCATACTCCAATTAATAAAGTAGGGCAGCCAGTGTTCTTTAATTAAAAAAACCACGCATCCAGGCATCCTTTTTATATATATATATTTTTTTTTTAATCATGAGAGCACAATCCTCCACAAGACTTTGATGAGATGTGCCTCGCGTTGCAAACTCCTAGCAAGAAAAACAGAAAAGAGGAAAGCGCTTGATGGGGCGGTGACGGGAGCAGAGCGCATCTCGCTCCATCACAGGTTGCTTTTCGAGGTCCGTGCCCCTCTCCCTTCACCCCCCAGCCCCGACGTTTAACCCTCGCGGGAGCAGCCGGGTTATTTTTCCTTCTGATCTGCCTTCCCGTTAGCCGGGTGAATTATGTTTTAGTGTTCAGCTGGTTAGTGTTTCTAGTCTGAAGGTGAAAATTCAAGCGGGTAGTGTGAATAGCTGTGGAGCTTCAAGGGCTGTTTATAAGCACCTCCGCGATTCCAATCACCTTTTTCTTTGCCTATTTTTTGTCTCCTTTTCCCTTTCCCTGCGTGTGTGGCACCCTCATGCCAGCAGGAAGGCAGAGCCATCACCCAGCTCATCCCAGCCCTTGTGCTTGCTTTGCTCTTGCCTCCCTCTTGCTCCCCGCCAGTCTGTCCTTCTGCCATGTCCTTCTGAGACCCCAAAAGCCCCTTTTTTCAGGGTGCTCATTGCACGGCGAGATGGGTGCCGCTCCATCCCACTGTGGTCTGGCACTTAGGGGTGCTCTCCGTACCACGCGGCGCAGTGGCCGTGAGCCTGGTGGGATGCCTCCCATGGTGAAGGCTGAGCAGCATGTGTGGGTTACCGGGACAATGAATTTTAATTATCTTTCTTAATCAACATTATTTCCTAACGGCACCTTGAAATCTTCACCTCAAACGCTGCAAATGCCTTTGAGTTGCTGCCAACCAGATGAAATGCTGTGCTGCCCTTCCGAAACTGTTTCTGATTCGTATTGAAAAGATGCTGCTGTATGCTTCCCTTCCTCGCTGCCTGCCCGCGCTCCTGCCTGCCTGCAGTCTGCCTGCGCTCCTGCCCATGCCTCTGCCTGCATTCCTCCTTGAGAGAGGCTATGCCAGGACCTCGTTCCCTCTTGGCTCGGACTCTAGCTTGGCTTTCCCAGCGCCGGCGTGGCCCATCTGCATCTCTTCCCCTTTACATTGTGTATTTGCCTAAACATTTTGCACGGTGGGTGCTGCCCACAGGGTGTCCACGCAGGCAGGGTGTCACCCAGCGATTCCGGGGACCAGGGGACGGGCAGCATCCGTTATTTTCCGGCTGGGTCCTGCTGCGTGGCAGCGAGCGGGCGTGCTGCAGCCACCAGCCGCTTAGGGCAGGATTTGTGCCTGCCTGCAGCCCAGGCGGTGCAGGGTCCGGCTCAGCGCCCCGGCTCAGCGTGGTCTGCACTGAAGCGGCGCCTGCAGCTGCCCTGGCCAAAACCCACGATTTCGGCTCCTTTGGTGCCACTGAACCGAAGCGCAGGCGGTCGGGCTGGGGGCAGCGGCAGAGCTCGTCTCCCGTGTGCTGTCTCCCGCTTTCCCGAGCCTGCTTGAAACGTTTGATGCATATTTTGAGCTACTTCAGATTGCTCTATCTCTGCTCAGCAAATTCAGACACGCACCCCTGCTCTCTCCCCCCATCCCCTCCAGTTTGCTGGTGCCCAAATGCTGCAATTCGGCAGCAAGAGCCTCTCTAGTGCCGGGACCTGCAGCCCCCGTCCCCCCCGCCGGCTCTCCCCAGGCTGCTGGCTTCGGTGTCGTGAGCCGCTTCATTCCTCCTTTAGCCCATCATGCAGTTCCTGGCCCTAGCCCCGTCGCTGCTGCTTTTCCCCAGGAAATTCATTCCTTTTTGATACTGCTCATCACTTCAGAGTCGGTGGTGAGCGCCAGCCTCTCCTTAGGGATCCCTTTTTCTCCCATTCCCTCGCCGTCGCTGCAGAACTGACACAGTTTCCCTGTTTGCTTTTCATCTGCTTTAACCTCAGATTTTTTTTTTCCTTCTCCGGTGCAGCCGCGCAGCACAACCGCTGCTGCTTTGGCACATGCCATAAATGCTGCAATTCGGCCGCGCGTCCCTGGGCACATCTGGACCTCAAGCTGCTCAGGAGTGCAGCGTAGCTCGGGGGATGCTCGCGGGCTCAAGCACATCCCAAAACAGGTCCCTGGTGCGCGGTGGAGAGCCCAGCCTGCCCACCCAGCTCACCGGGTGGTTATTTAGCTACCGAAAGCATCTCTGTGCCAAGGGGCCTTAGGACCGGAGGAATTTTAAGCTGCTAGGCACGGTGTCATCCTGGGTTTTGCTTTTGTTTGTGACCAAGAAACCAAGCTGCAGCACTCATGGCTCTCTTTTTCTTTCTCTCTCTCTCTTTTTTTTTTTGTCTTCTTTTAACTTGCGCTGTAGCCCCTAGACGGATAACATCATTGGAAAAAGCCTACGCTGCCTTGAATGGTACGTAGCTCAGTTGATGCATCGTAGATGGTAGCAGACAAGAAATGCACTTGCGTTTTAATATAAGAATGAAAATGTCTTAAACCCCCAAATTTCAGGTATTTTTTTTCCTCTCTGCTCTATTTCCCTGTGATACCAAGAACTGAATGATGCAGGATGTGTTTAACAGTATTTTATTGTTGTTATTAATCCTCTCTGCATTTCTAAGTGCCATTGCGGCAATCCCTGGGCATCGGTTCTGCTCCAGACAAACCGACCGGCCACGTTATCCTCAGCTCATCCATGCGTCCAAGCAATTAATTTGTTAAAAAATCCACTTGCCATTCACAAGGAGCTCTTGCACAGATTTGGGTTGGAGTTTTTTGCTTTGTTTTAACACATACTCTGGGCCAGAGCTGGTGTGCAGTGGTGTAGGCTCTGCGGATTTAACATATATACTAATTTACAGGAGTAACGAAGAGCTCGCCTGCCTGCCTCTGCAGCAGGGCACAGCGTAAGTCCAGCAGATCCAGCCTTAGTCCCATCAGCTGGGACTCCGGCCCCGTGTCTAGACGCTAATTGCCTGCTCCCGCTTTGAAAACATGCGTATGTTGAGCTAATTCAAACTGTGCTTAAACCTGACTTACTGTGGAATAGCCTCGGTAAAAAGTCAGCGGGTTTATTCCGCATTTACACAGCGGTGTCACTGAATTGCAGCCATTGAAGCTGGAAGGGGCGAAGAGGCGGGTATTTATCCTCTTAAAATTGAGGGCCAGATCCTGACCGCTGCGATCAGCCTTCCCCAGCGGAGTGTTTCTTTGACACGACTGGGATGGCCTGAAGGAGGGACCTGAGCCGCTTTCCTGGTGGGATGTGTTGGGCAGTGGCCGTTTCCCTGATGAAACAGGCTTCACGCCGGGCGTTCGGGTCACGGGAGGTTGTTACTCTGAGCGCGGCGGCCGGGCGGAGGACGCGCGGCGCCTG